TCCAGTAAAAAAATTGAAAGAAAAAAAAAATCAGATTTCGTCATAAAATTTAGGCCAAAATGTATTCTGCGACATGTCTTTGCTAAAAAAAAAATCCCAATATGTGTAAATTAATTGGTTTACGTGAAAGTTATAGCGTTTACAAATGGCGATATGGATACTGGGATTTAAAAAAAAAATTTTTTTATACTACTAATGGCTGCAAGCAGCGACTTATAGCGGGACTGCGGCAGCCATTCTGACACTGGGGGGGGATATGACTTGGTGTCACTGACATCCCCAGTGACACCAATACAGTGATCAGTGCTAAAAAACCCCACTGACCCTGTACTAATGGGAACTGGGCAGGAAGGGGTTAACGTTGGTGATCGGTGGAAATCACTGGGTAACCTCAAGCATGCTGAAAAGACTGGGAAACTCTTTACGAAAACTAAAGCCAGTCTTTGCACATTTTGCACACACACCTGAGATCTGCTGTAGTTGTATTTATCTGGGTTATCCTCCCGATATTTCCGGAAGGCGTTCCTGGTGCGTTTGTCAGTACACATGGAATATGGCGTCTGTGCAGCAGAGTCCCTAGAGGAAACATTAACAAACCATTACTGGCAAAATAATATATATTTTACATCAAACAAAATGAGTGCAACATTGAAAATAGTCCGAGTAGTGTTTGTCGGTTAACAGGAAACCACAAAGCCTTCCATAACTCTACCCCAAGCTACATACCAACCAAACTCCCATGTTCACCTGTAGGATTCCTCCAGTGCTCTTTCAATCCTCTGGAAATCCTTACCCGAATCTGTTCAACTACAGTGAAGGAAATGCATATTTGATCTGCTGATTTTGAATGTTTGCCCACTCACAAAGAAATGATCAAGTCTAAAAATCGAATGTTCGGTGTATTGTAACACAGAGACAGAATAGCAACAAAAAAATTCAACAGAAATACATGTCTAACAAATGATGCACTGATCTGCATGTTCATGAGGGAAATAAGTATTTGATCCCCTTCACAAAACATGACTCAGTACTTGGTGGCAAATCCCTTGTTGGCAATCACAGAGGTCAGACGTTTCCTGTAGTTGGCCACCAGGTTTGCACACATCTCAGGAGGGATTTTGGCCCACTACTCTTGGCAGATCCTCTCCAAGTCATTAAGGTTTGGTGGCTGATGTTTGGCAACTCGAACTTTCAGTTCCCTCCACAGATTTTCAATCGGATTAAGGTCTGGAGACTGGCTAGGCCACTCCATGACCTTAATGTGCTTCTTCTTGAGTCACTCCTTTGTTGCCTTGGCCATGTGTTTAGGGTCATTGTCATGCTGGAACGTGGAAGAAGGTTCTCACCTAAGATTTGACAGTACATTGCCCCATCCATCGTCCCTTTGATGCGGTGCAGTTGTCCTGTCCCCTTAGCAGAAAAACACCCCCAGAGCAGAAAGTTTCCACCACCATGTTTGACAGTTGGGATGGTGTTCTTGGCATCAGGCAATGGGATGGTGTCATAGGCAGCATTCCTCCTCCAAACACAGCGAGTTGAGTTGATGCCAAAGCGCTCGATTTTGGTCTCATCTGACCACAACACTTTCAACCAGTCCTCCTCTGCATCATTCAGATGTTCAGTGGCAAACTTCAGACCGGCCTGGACATGTGCTTTCTTGAGCAGAAGGACCTTGCGGGCACTGCAGGATTTCAATCCTTGTCGATGTAGTGTGTTACCAATTGTTTTCTTGGTGACTGTGGTCCCAGCTGCCTGGAGATCATTGACAAGATCCTCACGTGTAGTTCTGGGATGATTCCTCACTGTTCTCATGATCATTGACACTCCACAAGCTGAGATCTTGCATGGTGCACCAGACCTAGGGAGACTGACAGTTGTTTTGTGTTTCTTCCATTTGCGAATGATTGCACCAAGTGTTGTCACCTTCTCACCAAGCTGCTTGGCGATAGTTTGGTAGTCCAGTCCAGCCTTGTGTAGGTCTACAATCTTGTCCCTGACATTCTTGGACAGCTCTTTGGTCTTTGCCATGGTGGAGTGTTTGGAATCTGATTGTTTGATTGCTCCTGTGGACAGGTGTCTTTTATACAGGTAACACAATGAGATTAGCACCACTCCCTTTAAGAGACTGCTTCTAATCTCAGCTTGTTACCTGTATGAAAGACACCTGGTAGCCAGAAATCCTGCTGAATGATAGAGGATCAAATACTTATTTCCCTCATGAACATGCAATCAGTGCATCATTTGTTAGACATGCATTTCTTTTGAATTTTTTGTTGCTATTCTGTCTCTCAGTTTTACAATACACCTAACATTCGATTTTTAGACTGATCATTTCTTTGTGAGTGGGCAAACTTTCAAAATCAGCCGGGAATCAAATATTTATTTCCTTCACTGTACCTCCTACTCTGTCTGCCTGCAGGTGATCCCTGAAAACCCATTTCTTTAAAAACTCCTATCCTGCTTTTAACTAATACACTGTATTTTTCTCTCTCTCTCTCTCTCTCTTTCTCGATCAGCTCATCTTGACCAGAAAACATGTAATTTCACATGGCTCAAACACAAGATTAAGCAAATTATGTCATGCACTTCACCTTGAGCATGCATAGTAGAATAATACTGGGAGATTTTGCAGTTTAGGAAGGTTTCCTTCCCAGGAGGCTACTGAGCAGCTGGGGCTACGTCTCCATTTCAGTCAGGGAAACCAGGAAGTGAAAGCTACAAAACGTAAAAAAAAAAAAATTCTTAAACCCAAACTCCACGCAAATATACTATTGAGCTAATCACTCTTTTATGTCTAGGGAAACAATAAAAGAAGAGATTTACTTACCTGATCCTCAGCTCCACCCTGCAGCTAGACTGATCCCCGAAGCTTCTGCACCTCTGCATTCTAGTGCAGCCTTGGATCCTGACATCACCAAGACCAGAGCAGGGTCCATAGCCAAGGAACAGTTTACCGCCAGACTGTGGGGGAGCACCTCCTGCCAGGGGAGCATAGGATCAGGAAAGTAAAATGGTTTCTCTCCTCCCTTAGACAAAACAAGCACAATCTCACTGCAAGGAATGATTTCATCTGCCTAGAGTTTGGCTTTAACAAGTGTTAGACGATTTCAGATCAGCATGCAGAGAAGTTCTACTTTCAGATCAGCGTGCAGAGGTGGTCTGCTTTCAGGTCGGCGTGCAGAGGTGGTCTGCTTTCACATCGGCAAGCAGAGAAGGTCTGCTTTCACATCGGCAAGCAGAGAAGGTCTGCTTTCACATCGGCATGCAGAGAAGGTCTGCTTTCACATCGGCATGCAGAGAAGGTCTGCTTTCACATCGGCATGCAGAGAAGGTCTGCTTTCACATCGGCATGCAGAGAAGGTCTGCTTTCACATCGGCAAGCAGAGAAGGTCTGCTTTCACATCGGCATGCAGAGAAGGTCTGCTTTCACATCGGCATGCAGAGAAGGTCTGCTTTCACATCGGCATGCAGAGAAGGTCTGCTTTCACATCGGCATGCAGAGAAGGTCTGCTTTCACATCGGCATGCAGAGAAGGTCTGCTTTCACATCGGCATGCAGAGAAGGTCTGCTTTCACATCGGCATGCAGAGAAGGTCTGCTTTCACATCGGCATGCAGAGAAGGTCTGCTTTCACATCGGCATGCAGAGAAGGTCTGCTTTCACATCGGCATGCAGAGAAGGTCTGCTTTCACATCGGCATGCAGAGAAGGTCTGCTTTCACATCGGCATGCAGAGAAGGTCTGCTTTCACATCGGCATGCAGAGAAGGTCTGCTTTCACATCGGCATGCAGAGAAGGTCTGCTTTCACATCGGCATGCAGAGAAGGTCTGCTTTCACATCGGCATGCAGAGAAGGTCTGCTTTCACATCGGCATGCAGAGAAGGTCTGCTTTCACATCGGCATGCAGAGAAGGTCTGCTTTCACATCGGCATGCAGAGAAGGTCTGCTTTCACATCGGCATGCAGAGAAGGTCTGCTTTCACATCGGCATGCAGAGAAGGTCTGCTTTCACATCGGCATGCAGAGAAGGTCTACTTTCAGATCGGCATGCAGAGAAGGTCTACTTTCAGATCAGCATGCAGAGAAGGTCTGCTTTCAGATCAGCATGCAGAGAAGGTCTGCTTTCAGATCATCATGCAGAGAAGGTCTGCTTTCAGATCATCATGCAGAAAAGGTCTACTTTCACATCGGCATGCAGAGGTGGTCTACTTTAAGTTAAACCATTAAAGATGGAGTGTTTTTTTTTTTTTTTTTTAGTAGGTTCCTACATTTTGCATTAGTTTACTGAATACACCAAAAAGACTTAAACATAGAAATAATTCTGGGGGTGGGCCTGAGATATTACCTGAGGGATGGGTCCCAGCCAGCATCCATAAGCAGACATGCCACAAGGTCTGCTTTCACATCGGCATGCAGAGAAGGTCTGCTTTCACATCGGCATGCAGAGAAGGTCTGCTTTCACATCGGCATGCAGAGAAGGTCTGCTTTCACATCGGCATGCAGAGGTCTGCTTTCAGATCATCATGCAGAGAAGGTCTGCTTTCAGATCAGCATGCAGAGAAGGTCTGCTTTCAGATCATCATGCAGAGAAGGTCTGCTTTCAGATCATCATGCAGAGAAGGTCTGCTTTCAGATCATCATGCAGAGAAGGTCTGCTTTCAGATCATCATGCAGAGAAGGTCTACTTTCACATCGGCATGCAGAGGTGGTCTACTTTAAGTTAAACCATTAAAGATGGAGTGTTTTTTTTTTGTTTTTTTAGTAGGTTCCTACATTTTGCATTAGTTTACTGAATACACCAAAAAGACTTAAACATAGAAATAATTCTGGGGGTGGGCCTGAGATATTACCTGAGGGATGGGTCCCAGCCAGCATCCATAAGCAGACATGCCACTTTGCCGTGTCCGGCTGCCGAAGCTACATGTAGGAGTGTACGCTGCTCCAATGGAAGACGCTCATTCACCAGTCTGCTAACCACCTCACTGGCTGGAGATCTGGTCAGAGGGGGTGAGGAAGAGGAAAAGTCAGGGATATGATCCTGCAGGATCTGTTTAGTGGTCTCAGAATCTCCCGTCTTGCAGCACGTGAACAAGGCATTCCGCACCCTGCTCAGCTCATCACCTTGTGTAAACAAAACAGCATGCATATAGAAACCAATTAGTATTAGCCACTGCCATCTGTAATGAGAAATCAAAGTCTTGAGGCTTTTTTTGTTTTGTTTTTTTACAAGGTATGTATGTGTCAGTGGTTGACAACTTATAAACTTAAAAGGGGGCCTTAAATGCGGCCCTTGACATCACCAAAAAGACAACACATGCTGTTCAATATATGTAATGCTTGAGAGGACTGTCAGAAATTGCAGACCTAATAGAGGAAATGAGGGTCAGAGAGAGGGGACATTTTTGGCTGGGGATATGCTGCAGAAGACAATATGAAACTAGAGAACTGACCACAGTGTGTTGGGTTCACATATTCTTAGAATCCATTAAAACATAGAAAAGGTACAACAATTTTCTGCCTTTAGAACCACTTTAAGATCATGTTCCACTCAAATTTAGGGTGCAACATGTAACCGGATGACACGTGCCCACACCCTCAAAACAGCTGCCACTCCCACCCAACTGTGCACAGTGGTGGTTCTCTTCCGCAGATTTCCAACTGGCGCAGCTGTGTGGGGCTCCATCTGCATGTATGACCAGCATGTACTGACCTTTTAATTTTTGGTTCTCAGTACATTTGGAGGTTATATGTCCATACCTTCGATTGCCGATGCTGGTGACTCCAGACTGGCCAACTCTTCGCCAACATAATCATCAGTGGAATTATCTGTCTGCCGCTGAGATCTAGAGCCTGATCCGCCACCATCCTGGGTAGCCACAGACTCTATGGGAGAAAGCACATTATATTTAGTGAGTACCATTACATATATTTTGTATACTACAATATATCATACAAGGGGAATTATACTTTGTGTTAAATGTTGACTGACACACACACACACACACACACCTCTTCAGTTTTCCACCTACTGGTTGCACTCAATCCAGCAGCTGCGCCCACCGGCAACCTGTCAGTATAGTGAACGGGGCCAGCGGCTGCAAACCTAGCCGATAACAGTCGCAGCAGGAATCAGATGATTCCCATCACTACAATTTGCACCGGCCTAAATTACCACTGCAAATGTAACGTGGCATTCAACTCAATTTTTAATACTTTTATCTATAGGTAAGAAGCAGGGGTGGACTGACAACTCATGGGGCCCCTGGGCAATAGGGGATCATGGGGCCCGTGTCCTCGCCAACACCCAAAAAAGCCAATGATAGGTACCAGGGGCATCTCATGGGGTCCCCTGCTGACCCTGGGCCCTCGGGCAGTGCCCGAGTGCTCGAATAGTCAGTCCGCCTCTGCTAAGAAGCTTACCTGTAGGTAAAATGAATATCTCCTAAAGGTGCACCATTTAGGAGATATTCTTGCAAGCGTCAAATGGTGACATCACCGCCACATGCGCTCTGAAGGAACAGCATATTCGTGCTGTTCCTTGAAAGCTGTGGGCGCAGACATAGCTCCTGTGTGGGAATGACGTCATCACGCTTCAGCCATTCAAGTGGCTGGAGCCTGGGAAACCGGAAAGGAAGACCAGGTGAAGATTAGAGCTTCTGCAGCGCCGCTGGAAAGCTTCATTCTCAGGTAAGTCTTTCATATTGTGCTAGTATGCGATACATACCAGCACATTATGGCATTACCTTGCAGGGGACAATTTTTTTTTTTTTTTAGGTTTACTAAATCGCTTTAATATTTATCTCCCTGCATTTATAGGGTGTTAGGCAGCACATTATGGAGTATTTACTAAGGGAACATAACATAATAGAGGATTTGTGGTATTTGCTGTGACTGTAGGTCCGGCACAGTCACCTGAGACATCTTTCTTCTTCTTTTTCCTTTTTCTTTTTGGATACACTTCGTGTTCCCTGAGATCCAACGTGCTGATGGTCAGCTCTTCTTCTATATATTCTTCCAGCACTGGAACATCATCTTCCGACTGCTCGGGGGCATCTAATGTGAACATATAGCAGAGAGCATGGTAATGGATATGGATAAAGGATGACTACGATAATTATACATTATTACAGATACATTATTTTAACAGTCAGTCATTCATGTTCGAGTCCAACTAGTATTGGAACACAAAATTCTTACACATAGAAGTGTAAACCCTAACACATTCTAGTAAATATTGTGCTTTTATTGTTGTCTGTTGCAGAGATTCTTCTCACCCCGTCATAGTTGACAGCACAAAAGTGGTGTGTACTTCTGCATATTCTTATTATTATACAGTATTTATAAAGCGCCGATAGTTCGCTCAGCGCTGTACATTACAAAGGGGGACAGAACATGTGACAGAACAATAACAATACAATGCAAAACATGAGGGGATCGAGGGCCCTGCTCTTGCATATAGCACAAGTAGCTGAGTTGGACCTAAAATCAGTCTCTGGCAATCCTCTGCACAGCACACTCAGACAATCAGGGATCTATTGCTCCATGTGGTGCTGTCAGTCTAAAGCCGGCCATAGATGGATTCGAATCTTGGCTGGTTCAACAGGGACTGGCTAAGATTCGATCCATGTATACGGGCAGGCTGGTTGTACTAAAAGTTGATCCCAACTGTCAATTTCAGTACAACCAGCCGGTCAGATTTTTTTTGCATGAGACTACTGCCAAAGGCTATAGCCACTAGCAGTAACCATTGTGCTCTGCCGGCAGGAAAGACTCCCCCCCCCCCCCCCCACCTCCCCGGAAGAACACAATAGTGCAGCGGGAGGTGTCAGTGCTGATGGGGGGGAAAACCCAAAATGATTTTCTTTACTGAAACCTGTGCTTGCAGGAAATAAAATTGCACCAGCTATGGCTTGCTTTAGACTTGCCATAGTAGGATCTTATTTTTTTTTTTTTTCTTTGTTCAGCTAGTGCGCTGATCGGAAAAAAAAACAAATGGATTCTTCCTTGCGTACAAGTGAGGTGGATGGAAGCTGCGAGCTGAGTTATTCTATTCTGACAGTGGGGGCTACTCCGCTGTCAGAATACACGGATCAGAGCTGCAGTCAATTGGCTGCAGCTTATAATTAAATGAACATTTTTCAAACATTTTTTTTTTTCAATTTATGCTTAGATTAGCCTTTAAACCAGGGGTCTCAAAACTTTCTAAACAAAAGGGCCAGTTTACTGTCCTTCAGAGTTTAGGGGGTCCAAACGTCAGTGGGAATAAACCATACCCCTTCTTTGGTGTCAGTGGGAGAAATTGTGCCCCATCACTGGTGCCACTGGACCCCATTGTTTGTCATTGTGAGGAATTGTGCCCCATTATTAGTGCCACTGGGCCCCATTGTGTGTCATTGTGAGAAATTGTGCCCCCTTTATTGGTGCCAGTGGGTCCCATTGTGTGTCATTGTGAGGAATTGTGCCCCATTATTAGTGCCACTGGGCCCCATTGTGTGTCATTGTGAGGAATTGTGCCCCATTATTGGTGCCACTGGGCCCCATTGTGTGTCATTGTGCCCCATTAGTGCCACTGGGCACCATTGTGTGTCATTGTGAGGAATTGTGCCCCTTTATTGATGTGTTTGGGAGGAATTGTGCCCCATTATTGGTGCCACTGGGCCCCATTGTGAGGAATTGTGCCCCTTTATTGATGTCTTTGGGAGGAATTGTGCTTCATTATTGTTGCCACTGGGCCCCATTGTGTCATTGTGAGGAATTGTGCCCCATTATTGGTGTCTTCAGGAGGTATTTACGCCATCACTGGTGTCAGTGAAGGGAATTATGCCCCACTGTTATATCAGTGGATGAAATAGTGCCCCAAGGGCTAGATAAAAGCAAGCAAAAGGCCACAACTGGCCCCCCGGGCTGCAGTATGGAGGCCATTGATTTAAACGGTTTATTTGTTTTTAGACTGTAATGTGATCTTAGAACCAAATGTTAAGTTTACTATATAAAACAAGAACTATGCCTTTAAAATGTATGTCACTTACCGGTGGTCTCTTCCTGGATCTCTGTCCGTCTGGGTCTTCTGGATCTGACAGATCTCTCCCGTATTCCAGTGACTGGTACTTCCCTGTCTGTGCACAGAGAGACAGAGTGTAAATGACCGAAGGCGTGATGACGCAATGGGGTGGATATACTAAAGCTGGAGAGTACAAAATCTGGTGCAGCTCTGGATAAAAACCAATCAGCTTTCAGGTCTTATTGACAGAGCTTAATTGAAGAAGCTGAAGTTAGAAGCTGATTGGCTCCCATGCACAGCTGCACCAGATTCTGAGTGCTCCAGTTTTAGTAAATCTCCCCCAGTGTGATATTTAAAAGGCATAAAGCACACACACAAATCTTGTGACTAGAAGACATAGTAAATCATTTAATTATTAAAAAAAAAATTAAGGGGGGGGGGGGGTTAAAGTGACTTCCACTAGATTAACCACTTCTTGTTCACAATCTGTTTATTAACCTCTTGCCGTCCGCCTGCTGTTTATAAACGGCAGGGCAGTGGCAGTCCAGGATCGGGTTGCCGTCCATAACCGGCACCCGCCTTTTCTAGCTGAGCGCGCACCACCACGATCCGGTGCCCGCTGTGTCCTCCGGACACAGTGAAACACCGATCGTCGGACGGGACCTCTGTACGAGGTCCCAATCATGTGATCACTGATTGGTGAATCAGTGATCACATGCAAAGTAGTAAGCAAGATGTCACTTGTGACATCATTGCTTACTATGTGTGAAATCTGTGAATGATCACAGAGGTCACATGGTACAGGGCTATTCACAACAGCCTTGTACCATGTGACAAGCTGTGACCACTCACAGCTCACTCAGTAATTCTCAATGACTGCAAGAATGCAGACAGAGAGAAAGCGAAATGATTGCTTTTACATCCTATATGGGTGTAAAAGCAATCAGTGTAAAAAAGAAAAAAAAAAAAAAAAAAAAAAAAAATCTTCATCACCCTCCACAAGTAGTACAGTGTCACCATGGTGACAGTGTACTGCTAGGGTGACAGTATGTAAAAAAAAAAAAATAAAAAATATAAAAAAAATAAAATGTAAAAAAAAATGTTTAAAAATTATAATTTTTGGTTATAAACTAATTTGGATTTTTTTTGTTTTACTAAAAAAAAATAACGGAATAAATTTTGGCAAAGATTTATGATGAAATATTATTTATTTGCAAAATTTTATTTAAAAAAAAAACACTTTTTTTTTCAAAATTTTTGAACTTTTTCATTTACATAGTAAAAAAAATAAAAATCCCCAGTGGTGAATAAAATACCACCAAAATAAAGCTTTATCTGTCTCAAAAAAATGGTAAAAAATTCATATGGGTACAGTATTGCATGACCGCGCGCAATTGTCATTCAAAGTGTGATAGCGCTGAAAGCTAAAAATTGCCCTGGACAGGAAGGGGTAAAAGTGTCCGGACAGGAAGTGGTTAACGTTTCCCAGCAAGATGCCCTATGCTATATTTGTAAACGTCCCCCTTTAGGAGCCCAAAAGCCAACACTTTGTGCAGCTGCTGGCTGTCAATTCCAGTTCTTCCCCCATTCTTTTTCCCCTTGCAGAATAACATTTTATTGTGGGATAATGCACATTAACATAACTAACAGTTTGCTTCAATTACATAACCAAAATATGGCCAACAATGATCAGAAAGGCCAACAGACACTCTTATCAACCGGCAATAATGTAGCGCATTACAAATAAAATATTTTATAATAATAATTCGGATGGACTGAACCATGACGTCCCAGAGGTATTCTATTGGATTTAGGTAAGGCGAGCGTGGGGGGCCATTCAATGGTATCAATTCCTTCATGCTCCAGGAACTGCCTGCATACTCTCGCCACATGAGGCCGGGCATTGTCATGCACCAGGAGGAACCCAGGACCCACTGCACCAGGAGGAACCCAGGACCCACTGCACCAGGAGGAACCCAGGACCCACTGCACCAGGAGGAACCCAGGACCCACTGCACGAGTGTAGGGTCTGACAATGGGTCCAAGGATTTCATCCCGATACCTAATGGCAGTCAGGGTGCCATTGTCTAGCCAGTAGAGGTCTGTGTGTCCCTCCATGGATATGCCTCCCCAGACTATCACTGGCCCACCGCCAAAACGTTCAGGCTGAACGATTTTTTTTTTTAACATCCAAAACAACTTTTATTGTCAAGATAATATAGAAAATGGAACATTACTTACAGAAACCACAATGACATTACTGCAATAGCAGGATTACACATAAATAGATCCCGTAATAAACAGAAATGGTAATCAAACAAAACAGACCACAGGGATCCAAAACTTTGACAATATCTTGCTTTTTCCTTTTTTACGTCCAATTCCTTCCCGACCAGAAGTAAACAGAAATGGGGGAAAGCAACAAGGAACAAAACATGTCTTCAAACAATAAATAAAAAAAACCCACATCATCAATAACCTCTGGTTCACCCAAGACGTCTCATCAAAAAGAATGGGAGATTCCGGTGGCAGCAGCAAGGTTTTTTTCGGCACCTGTATGGGTGCTTTTTTTCATATCGGCTGAAACATTTCGGCCACCGAAATTCCGGTGCATCCCTAGTGGTTGCCACATCTAAGGACTGGAAAGCTTCATTACATTTTTATTTTTGAGTTTAGATAAGCTTTAAGTCAGACATAATAAATGGTGTCTACAGTCGGCTCTGCCCCTTGCTCTTACCGTGTACCTGCAGTGTAAAGAGCTGTGTGTGTACATGCTGAACCTCTCGGAAGGTGGCTCTCCTAGTGATGAAGGGAATGCCATGAACGCGTGGGTCCTTCTTTGGGATGGGGGAGTTCCGCCCCAAGAAAAGGGTCTTATCAGAGCGAGGAGCACGCAGGAAAATTCCACGAGCCTCAGCGATGTGTTCTGTCCAACTTTGCAACAACTGGTTTATGTCCTGGTGAAGAATGCAAAATGATGTGCTGAACAATCTTCAGAATGTTGCAGATATAAATCATCAGTGAATTAAGTGAAATATCGCTATGGCTCTCCATACTATTAGTAGGAGGGAAGAAAAGAATAGCATTTATGATAACTGAGTAAAAGAAAAAAAAAAAAAAAGATTATTTTTCTTCTGTAAATCTTTTGGTTGATTTAAGGGGCTCTCCATAATTTCCTGTTTTGAATGGGGCTGCATTTGGTGATGTACCCCCTGAGGGTGGTATCCCAGAGTGTGCTGGAAAAACACTTCTGGGCTGCACCACATCATTGGTATTTCCACCTTGATTAAGTCACGTTTTTCTATGCTTTTTTTGCGCTACGCTTCTGGGCAGGCCTTTTTGCAAGCCAGATCAACTTTTTCTACCAGCCGAAAGGCCAGCTGCGCATTTCACGTGGCAACTTTTTTTTTTTGTTGTTGAGTGTGTCACGTATTTATTCATGTGTCTATTTTTTTTTGCACAGAGATGGAGGGTGCAGGTCATCAGGAGGGCCTGCCCTGATGTTGGCATGAGGTTCTGTGGCCTTCAGGTTGCCACTCCCCATCTGGAGAGGTCTATCTTTGAAAGAGTCCTTCACCATGTACTTGGTGGACTGGCTTTGGTTGGTCCCTAAGGTCTGGGGCTTAGGCCTAGGTAGATCAAGGTGTAACTTGCCTCTTTCAGGAGACCTGTGCCCCAGGAGGTTCAGGGTCAGGAGGCCCTTCTTTAGAGGATTGGTCATAAAGGACCCTCTGTGCACTTCGTATGCTGTGATTTCACGATTCAATTGTTATGTTCACAGGGGTTCGACAAAGCACTGCACCAAGGAGCTTCAAAAGAAAAAGAAGAAAAAAAAAAAAAAAAAATCTTTTATCAGATAGCTTAATGGGGGACATAACAAATCTGGGGCCAATACCCAAGAGCTCTGCTGTGTTTCAAAAAGAGCTTTAAGGGAAAGAAAAAAAAAAAAGCCCATCCTTAACCTCCCAGTCTCCTCTGTGAAGACCCTCCTTGTTGCTTTTTAAAAACACTCTCCAGATACATACCTTAAAGTGGAAACCTGGGAATTATACATGAAAAACAACACTGAAGTGCCCCCAGACTGCAAGTGTAAAGGCTCATTAAGTCACTGGGTAGAAGACTAAGATTTAACACTTACCGAATTCCTTGCTCCCACAGGCGCCAACACTCTCTTCTACTTTATGACACAGTTGTGGGTTGGCCTTTGCCATCCTCATGTACAATTTAGGACTATTGGTCCTGTATTGTACGTGATGAAGTCAGCGAGAAACAGCCAGCTGTAGCGCCTCAGAGTTGGTGGACTGGTCACACAGCATGGATGAAGCCAGCAAGGGGTGAGACAAGCATTACAGCAGATTCCTCTAACCCTGGACTTAATGAACATTTAACTCTTGCTGAGCAAGGGGATCGCAATGCTTTTTGTTGTGCAATTCTTGGAGTTTCGCTTTAAATTCAGGTGATTTCTGGCCAGTACGGCGACACCAGTGCAGCCTGGGCAGTCCTTACCGCAGTACAAAATACTGCTCATAGCCATACTATATCCTGCATCACTGTGATCCCAGGCTGAGGACGCCCCAGGAAGTAGGCCTATATGACAGCCTGGACTCACAGGAAGTGGGTTGAATGACATGGTCATTCAACTCAGAAGAGGAAAGCCACCCACTGGAGAAGAGGGGGACAACATTGAATTAAAAGGGGAGTACTGTAAAAAAAAAAAAAAAAAAAAAAATAATAATTTAAAACATTTTTTGTTAATGCCAAGACAATTCATATTTTTTATTAGCTGTCGTTCTGCTTTAAAGGGTCAGTTGAACCCAAACTGGATTTTCAGTGTTTGGTGGCTGCTGGAAAGGTAAAATTACTTCTATTTCTCAAGGAACAATATTGGTAAGATCTTTGCGCTCTCCACAGCTGCTGTGCCCATTATGAGGAGTTCCCCCCCTATTTTTTTTTTGTATTATTATTATGGAGAATGTTACAGGAGGATCTGGGCGCACAAAGGTGGGTGGGAACACAAGACAGACAGGACCAAAGTCAAGAATTCTGGCAGGAACATCTCACCAATGTAACATTCAGGGCATATGAGCACACTCCACTCTCAGATTTAGGTGGATTGACATTTTAACAGAACTTTGCATCACATCTGCACAAAGCATACTCCTCACCGTCATTAGTGCAGCCTGGTTGTATCGTCTCAGAGCTGCCCCAGCAGACTTGGCCATGTGACTGCGGTTCTGGGCATCATGAAGGGCTTGAGAAGTTCCCCTTTTTGCTCGTACTGTGTACCGGTGGAAGGTCTTGTGTTTGAGCACCTCCTTCCTGTATAAACAAAAAAAAAAGAAAAAAAACAGAATGGGATTATCGAGGAAAAAAAAGAAACTTATGTGGACATCTAACTAAAGCAAGCCATAGATGGTACAGTTTTCCTTCCTTCCACCATGAGGTGGAAGGAAAGTAAACTGCTCAATTCAACAATGAATGTGTTGATGGGGGGAATCACTCCTGCAGTGCTGTTGTGTTTCCACTGGGAGGGATCCAAAATGAACACTGCTAGTGGCTATAGCCAGCATGCAAAAAAATACAATAGGTTGGTTGTACTAAAGTCAATTGATGGATCGACTTCAGTACAACCAGCCTACTCATAGATGGATCGACTCTCAGCTGGTCCCTGCTAAACCGGCCGAGATTCGATCCATCTAAGGCCAGCTTTAAGCTGGCCTCATGTTACAACGTGAATGTAAAAATCCAAAAAGCAATGTACTGTAAGGACCTACCTGAACGGATTGCTTAGACATGCAATTTTGCTACATCATTGCTGGCAAATAGAAATTAGATTGTAAGGTGCATTTCTTGCTTACAGTGCAACTGTCCCATGGTGCATACACTAATATTGTAGCCACGTCCCCACCCTAGCACCTCTCCCCGTGTTATACACAACTCTCCCCTATCCATTTAGATATTGCTGACTAAATTGCAAAACAGCTTACCAGTCTGTACAGAATAAGAATTTATACTCAGAAGCTGCAAAGCTATTACTGGCAGTACACAGCACTTTCAATGGGCCCGTCCTGGAAGATTTTACAGGCGGATGTATAAACTATACTCCTTTGTCCCTAATTCAGCAAGATATCACTAATTAACCACTTCCAGACCGGACACTTTTACCCCCTTCCTGACCAGGGCAATTTTCAGCTTTCAGCGCTATCACACTTTGAATGACAATTGCGCGGTCATGCAACACTGTACCCAAATGAATTTTTTACCATTTTTTTGAGACAGATAAAGCTTTATTTTGGTGTTATTTATTCACTGCTGGGATTTTTATTTTTTTTGCTATGTAAATGAAAATGTCCAAAAATTTTGAAAAAAAGTGTTTTTTTATAAAATTTTGCAAATAAAAATAATATTTCATCAAAAATCTTTGCCAAAATTTATTCCGTTATCTTTTTAGTAAAAAAAAAAAAAAAATCCAAAATTAGTTTATAACCAAACATTATAATTTAAAAAAAATGTTTCTTACATTTTTATATATATTTTTTTTTTTTTTACATATACTGTCACCCTAGCAGTACAGTGTCACCATGGTGACACTGTACTACTTGTGGGGGGTGATGAAGATTTTTTTTTTTTTTACACTGAATGCTTTTACACCCATATAGGATATAAAAGCAATCATTTCTCTTTCTCTCTGTCTGCATTCTTCCACTCATTGAGAAGTACTGAGTGAGCTGTGATTGGTCACAGCTTGTCACATGGTACAAGGCTGTTGTGAATAGCCTTGTACCATGTGACCTCTGTGATCATTCACAGATTTCACACGTAGTAAGCAATGATGTCACAAGTGACATCTTGCTTACTACTTTGCATGTGATCACTGATTGGCCAATCAGTGATCACATGATCGGGACCTCGTACAGAGGTCCCGTCCGACGATCGGTGTTTCACTGTGTCCGGAGGACACAGCGGGCACCGGATCACGGTGCTGCGCGCTCCCAGGGACCGTGCACAAGCAGGGTGCGGGGAGGCTGTTTATAAACGGCCACCCGACCCTGCACTGCCACCGTCCGGCCGTTTATATGCAACGGCTGGTCGGGAGGTGGTTAAAGTACAAAACCTAATAATTATAATGGGCTACCTGAGGTTGGTCCCAGACCATACCCGAGTAACGCTTTGATTACAGATACATACAATACAAACCCTTGACAGGAGTGGCGGGTTTCCATATTTTGGTCAAATACAGACTAATACCTCATGATTTTGTTTCTTTTGCCTTTTGGGATAGTAGGACTATAAGGGTTATGGTGAAAAGGGGACTAAAGCAATAAAAGCCCTTCAAATGAATAAGTGTGTAACACAGTAAAGCATTCTTAAAACAGAAGGTATTTACATGGATCATTCCATCACATTTTTAAAAATAAGGAATATTTCTCATTTCAGTAATGGGGGCAGAGCCTTGCAAATCATTGCTTTATGCTCTGTTGGCCAGATGTACATCCAGAACTGCTGGTGTATAGTGTGACACTGTGCTATGGTGGGGTCAAAGCGAAAAGATGCACTTAAAATGCATACTAGTCCACCTGTTAAGTAAATGGTAAAGGCAGCAACAAAAAGGAAGTTTTTACGGTTACCTGGGTGTTGTCTGGGACTGAGATCAAGTGACCCTTGTACTTTGTAAAGCCTAAGGCTACATTTATATTAATCTATAAAATAGTGCCAAAATTCTAAACAAAATTCTAAGCACACTAGAAGCAAAACATAAAAAAATGAAAGATCAGTGAAAATGAGAAATAAATAACCAGCTGACCATCTAACACATAAGATCAGCCTGACATTAATTTCATTAATGTGTGATTAAAAAATCAAATGTGCATTTATATACCATATTTTTTCACTGTCCCCACTGCACCGTCCATAAAACGCACTTTTTTGCCCCCAAAAAATGGGGGAAAATGTCTGTGCATCTTATGGAGCAAATATGGAGTGGCCAGCTCGGTATTCCCACCGCCATGTTAGAATACCAGGCCGGCTACTTGGCTCTTCTGTGCAGCAAAACCTGCTCCTCAGTCCTACCTGTTCCTCGGTCTAGCAGTGTCCTCACCATCTTCTCTCCCTGGTGCCGGCATCTTTAGTGTGGGCACCCGGCTGTGAAAGCTTGCGGCTTCACGGCCGGGTGCCCACTGCAGATGCGCGAGAAGCACTGAGCTTTGTGAATGGTCCGGCAGTATTCTGGGACCTGTCACATGTCCCAGAAGATGGAGAGAGAGGACAACTCCATTGAAGTGGGAGCGGGTACCTGTCAAATTAGGGTACCCGCTCCCCCCCTTCCGCTCCCCAAAGGTTTGCAGTCTCTGGTCGTCCCCTGCACCGGGTCCGCAGTCTCTGGTCGTCCCCTGCACCGGGTCCGCAGTCTCTGGTCGTCCCCTGCACCGGGTCCGCAGTCTCTGGTCGTCCCCTGCACCGGGTCCGCAGTCTCTGGTCGTCCCCTGCACCGGGTCCGCAGTCTCTGGTCGTCCCCTGCACCGGGTCCGCAGTCTCTGGTCGTCCCCTGCACCGTGCACCGGGTCCGCAGTCTCTGGTCGTCCCCTGCACCGGGTCCGCAGTCTCTGGTCGTCCCCTGCACCGCACCGGTCCGCAGTCGCAGTCTCTGGTCGTCCCCTGCACCGGGTCCGCAGTCTCTGGTCGTCCCCTGCACCGGGTCCGCAGTCTCTGGTCGTCCCCTGCACCGGTCCGCAGTCTCTGGTCGTCCACCTGCACCGGGTCCGCAGTCTCTCTGGTCGTCCCCTGCACCGGGTCCGCAGTCTCTGGTCGTCCCCTGCACCGGGTCCGCAGTCTCTGGTCGTCCCCTGCACCGGGTCCGCAGTCTCTGGTCGTCCCCTGCACCGGTCCGCACCGTCTCTGGTCGTCCCCTGCACCGTGGTCCGCACCCCGCAGTCTCTGTCCGCAGTCTCTGGTCGTCTCCTGCACCGTGTCCGCAGTCTCTGGTCATCTCCTGCACCGTGTCCGCAGTCTCTGGTCGTCTCCTGCACCGTGTCCGCAGTCTCTGGTCATCTCCTGTACTGTGTATGCAGTCTCTGGTCATCTCCTGTGCTGTGTCCGCAGTCATCTCTTGTACTGGGTCCGCAGTCTCTGGTCATCTCCTGTACTATGTCTACAGTCCATTGGTTCAGAATATTTTTTTCTCTCGTTTTCCTCTTCTAAACCTAGGTGCGTCTTATGGTAAGGTGCGAAAAATATGGCAAGTAAAAAATTAAAGGGAAGCAAAACATTAATGCTGGCTGACCTTCTAGTCCAAGCCATGTGAGATCTGAAATAATCAGCATATGTAATAAAGAAACAAAAAGGCATTGGAAGAAGGGGAGAATCAAACAGCTTTTTTACACAATGCAGAGGATTAGCCCCTTAGGTTCCACAGTGAGTATAACAAGTATGCTTTACTGCGTATACAGGCTGAATTTACGGTTGTGGGTTTAGTAACACTTTAACTGCCTCTGAATGCAGAAAACCTTCTGCACATTTTTGGTCATGTGAATGTAGCCTTAACGCCGGACTCACCAGACATGAAGACCCTTGGTGTGGGTAGTGAGCTTACATATTTCGACAAAAATACAATAAAATGATGCAGATACACTTTAAATGACAATCCAGGTAAAGAATGAATGTATAGACATCCTCACCCTTTGAACACTGCGCCGGCAAAATGTCCTCCTCCAGCCATAAGAATCACCACTGTTGGTCGGTCCTGCAGACTCTTTATGCAGCCCAGTAGCTGTTCTGGGATCACTTCCATGTCCTGAAATACACAGATTGCCTTTAATACCTGAAGAGTGTTCAGCTGTCCATGTGTGGCAGTCACTCTGAATTTACCTTTTCTACCCCCAGCACACAACGGTACATAGATAGCAGTTTCCCCTGTCCATTCCTGAATAGTACCCTTTGGGAGCGATTCGGATGACCTGAATACATAGAGGACTCTACACTGGACTCAAGGGAGGCTCTTGAATCATCTTCATCTGAGCTGTCCAAATCGGAGCCAGAAATACTGGACACGTCCCCTGCAAAAGAATATGTAAAGGAAAAAAAAAAAAAAAAAAAAAAAGAAAGATTTCTTGCCACAATCTTCTGTACCTATTCACACATATATTGTATTCTGCCTTGTCCAACTGCCACTTGTCATGTCCACCATTTGTCTCACCTGCCTGCGTCTTGTTCTGGAAGTCTTCCTCGCTCAGAGAACCTGCCCCCTTGATTCTACGTTTCAGGTTAAAGCGGTGCCAGTCCAATGTGTAATGTTCTTTCTTTAAAGGAAGTTTATAGAGGAGAATTTATTAAACGGGAGCAGACAGAATCTGCTGCAGCTGTGCATGGCAACCAATCAGCTTCTATATTTAATTTTCAAAGGCGTATTTGAACAAACTGAAGATAGAAGCCAATTGGTTGCCATGCACAGCTGCTCCAGATTCTATCTGCTCCAGTTTTGATGGAAATATTGTTTTCAGTGTATACAAATATTTATTCTACGTATTGTTTATAAATTGATATGCATACGGGAGTAGCCAGATTTGCTCATTAAATACACAGACTTTGCAGTACAGCATAATGGTTGTGCTTTCCAGCTATATCTCACAATGTAATGTAAGTCTATGAGACAGCTCTTTTAGGGCTCATTCACACCACTGGGCTGCATTACTCAATGCACAGACAATGCAAGGTCATGCTAAATTCAATTGATTTCAATGGTGCCCATTTAAACCAATGCCCTGCATTGGAGTAAACTGACAAAAATAAAAAAAAAAAGCCAATATCGGATCATGAATTACGAGTGGATGTCAAATCTGCATATCTGTTCTGGATCAGCTAGGATCTCAGAATACCTATGGCTGAAGAACCATCTCTGAAAGCCTATACTGCCCATAACAATCAGACAATCATCCAGTTCAGTATGGAGAAGGAAAGAAAAAATCTGATTGGATAGGCAAAAGAATATGCCTCTTCCAGATAGTGTGATAGTTGAGCTCAACTGTATCAAAGAGTCCTCAGAAGATGAACCACAGACAGCCACACACGTGTCTCCAGGAATCCAAATAACCGTTACCTGTTCCTCTCTGCTGTCAAACGTGCATTGACAAGTAGTGCAGCTCATCCGATCGGAAATTTCCAGGATGCTGGACCCCTTACTTTCACAATTTCTTTCTAGAAGAAAAAATGATAACTATAGGCAAAAAAAGTCAGGTATGCAAGGAATCACTCAACTCAGAGCTGAATGCCAGCCTTCCTTTCAGTCTTGCACAGTTGTTCCGGTTCCTTTCATTTACCAAAACGGCTTACTCTGATTTCACTGCACACTGAGCTTCTCACAATTTGCAGTAGAAGATGTAGCAAATCAGAGAGTGCTCATGTCATTTCCTGAATGGAGGATGACCAGGATCTAGCGCTTTCCTCCAGCCTGTCGGTCCCTGGTCAAACCTTTTCAATCACTAAAAAGTTAAAGGCCTGGATTGTTTCTTGGATACACAGAATATAACTGGATATAACATTTATAGGTAAAGTTGATCCAGGGAATATCCGATTGCCTCTCGGGGAATCAGGAAGGAATTTTTTCCCCTGCAGGGGCAAATTGGGTCATGCTTTGCTGGGTTTCTTTGCCTTCCTCTGGATCAACTGTGGGTGTAGGATTATAACTTTTTTTTGGTTGAACTGGATGGACCTTTGTCTTTTTTCAGCCAGACTATGTAACTATGTAACTAGCCATAATCTGCCTACATTGCATAGAAAAATATATAAAGACCCAGCGATTATGTCACTGGGTCCAAAATAAGATATGTATTAAAAGGGGAAAGGTTTTAAAATCTCTTTGGCATGTTGGGTGACTTAGTATGCAGAGAAGACAAATTATAAACATAGTTAACTTTATCTTTAAAAGCTGAAGTCTAGGTCTATATTTTTATTTCTTTAAAGGTCCAGTGTTGCTCCTCTTCTGCTTTGAATGGCAGCCAGAATCATTCAACCCACTTCCTCGGGGCCAGGCTGTCATGGACACACCTCATAGGGGTACATTATTATACAGTATTTTTATAGCGCCAGTTTGCTCAGAGCTGTACATTATAATGGGAGACAATACACGAGACAGTACAGTAACAATACAATACACGAGGGGTTTGAGGGCCCTGCTCCTTGGAGCTTACAATCTAGGAGGGAGGGGATAGTGGTACAGGAGGAAATAGCTGTGGGGGGATGGACTGGTAGGAAGAGAGGAGGAGATTGGCAGTTCGGTGAGGGCGGGGTAGGCTTCCCTGAAGAGGTAGGTTTTCAGGGTGCGCCTAAAGATGAGGAGGGTAGGTGACCGTCTGATTGATTGGGGTACATCATAATGCAGCTTGGGCTCACTGTACTCCTTGACAGAGCAGTGCTCACCAGCATTACATAAGCACTGCTCAGTCTGGAAGGGAAGAGTTCTCTTCTGCCAGAGAGTAAAAAAAGAAAGGACCTGCAATGGCACCAGACTAGCCTGAGGACTGCAAGAAAGAAGGGTTTTTTTTTTTTTTTTAAATGCCAACGCACAAAGGAGTCTGCTATTCATTCTAGTGCATGCAATAGATAGGAAGAACGACACTGCTCTGGGTAACACAGACATTTCCTTTTTTCAGAAACCTCCATATAGAGTCCGGTCCATGTTTTCCAGCGTGTCTCCCTGCCTCCCTCTATAACACAGAGTCTTACCTGGGAGATGTTGTTTATCTTCTGCAAATCCCTCTTTTGCATTATTATTATTCAGGAAAAGGTCTGAGAACAAATCGCTTTCTGGGTTTAGGTCAAACAGACAGAATGTCTGTGGTCCGGCGGACCTGCCAACATTGGATAGAGTAGAGCATAAGAAGAAAGAATGTAAATCAATTATTAACATTATCACCAAAAGCAAAACTTTTTTTTTTTTTTTTTTTTTAGATTTGTATAGTGTAAGGAAGCATTGAAACCCGTCAGGTTTTTATTGCTGTCTGTGTCCCCGTTAGGGAAGTTCACTCTCCCAAACTGTTCTGATCACCGGGAATTAAAGCAAGGAGGACAGCCACAATTTTGAGTTGTCACCAAAACAGGAACAGAAGGCAAATCTTCTTTGTTCCAGAGACAACAAAGGAGGAACATCCCCAACATTAGAAAGATATTCTCTCACTTTCTGTCAATACGAAGTGAAGAGAAATCTCCTTCATGAGACAGATGACAAAAAAAAAAAAAGCAAACAAAACTGACAGCAGTTTTAATAGTCCCTTACTCTATCCAAAGTGAACAAAAACAAAATTGCCTTTTCACCCTCCCCATCAGCTTTCCCCCATTCACATTCTGACCATCCTCTCACAGAATTGGATATTTTTATTAGTGTAAAGGGGGGGGTTATCTTTCTCAGGGGGCCTCCCATATGGAAGAAAAATATATTTGAAATATATTTTAAAAATATTCTTCCCAAATATATTGGCACATATTTGAAATGGTACAATTTTGGCCATTCATTCAAATAAAAAAATTATATATATATATATATATATATATATAACTTTTTTATATGTAAAAAAAATCTGAAAATATATTTATAAAATATATATTTTTTAAAATATATTTTTTTAAATTCAATTTTTTTTAACATATAAAAAAAAAAAGTCACTTTAACATATTTTTACATATGCATTCCAAAATAGTATAATTGTATTTTTAAAGACATACAGTATATTTGAAATGTATTTTTAAAATATTTTTCATATTTTGAAATAAAAATGCATTTCAACATGCAGTGTGTGTGTGTGTATATATATATATATATATATATATCTATCTATATCTATATCTGTTCATGCAAGCGTTAATACAAAATATGGATGCCCCACTGTCAGTAAATCATTGTGTCAGAAAGCTGTAATACTAATGTCAGTATATGGAATACCCACTGTCAGTAAATAGCAGTGTGTTAGTAGGCACTCATACTAATGTCAATATATAGACACCCTACTGTCAAAAAAAGCAGTGTGTCAGTAAGCGTTCATGCCACTGTTCGTGCAGTACATGGAAAACCCACTGTCAGTGAACTATTGTGTCAGTAAGCTGTAATTCTAATGTCAGTATATGGACTACCCACTGTCAGTAAATAGTGTGTTAGTAAGCACTCATACTAATGTCAATAGACACCCTACTGTCAAAAAAAAAAAAAAAAGCAGTGCGTCAGTAAGCATTCATAGCAGTGTTAGTACAGTACATGGACACCCCACTGTCAGTGATTCATTGTGTCAGTAGGCTGCAATACTAATGATACACTGCCTTTTACTGACAGTGGAGTGCCCATGTACTGACATTAGTATATGGGCATTTACTGACACACTGCTTACAGTAGGTTGTCCATAGGCTGACAGTATTTGACTACTTACTGACAGTGCTATTTACTGACACATCCATATACACTTCCAGAAGAGACAGGTGGCATCCCTGAAGACATCAGAGGAATGACTGTATGGGATTGGGTGTACTGCAGCTAAGTGGGGGACCCCTAAAGGTCATTGCTGGATCTCCAGGCATGCCAGTATATTTTTGTAGACAACCCAGGTATAGAGGTAGGGGGATTGGGTTCAGGAAGGGGCGACGCTCCTTTTTATGAATGTACTAAGCTGCATATGCTCAGTAGATTTCCCTGGTAGGGGTGAGTTCCCACACGAGTCCACGCCCACCTGAGCTATCCCACAGGTGGCAGAGGCATTGCCGCCCCACAGCCATGTATATCCGAGGGGTGTGTATATATGTGGTTGTGGGCGGGGATAGCTGAGGTGGGTCTGGACTCGTGTGTGAGCACCTGAGCTTACTATGGCGCCCCGGCTGTGATACCGGTCCAATGATTTCTGAGTCTCAGATTCAGAACATCTGTACAGAGAGCTCAGATTCCATCTCTCATAACTCTTCCAGGGAAAACAACACTGAAACCAGAGGATCAGCATGATCAGCAGCCAACTAGTGTTCTCAGAAGAAGGGCAGCTGAGCAGGAGGAGGCGGTTGTCAGGTGTACATCAATAAAGACCACATGGCAGGACACAGCTGACAGTCCCACAGTAGACCCCTCCTGTGCTGTAGACGAGGAGCAGACTATATATAGATAATACAATAATGAGGGAAGCATCCCAGACACTCTCACCCCTCCATGCTGCTCACGTGGGTCCAAACTGCCACTTTACTTCCGCGTTTTACCTCACTTCCGCCCAACCCAGCCTTTCTGCTTCAACTCTGACCCAAAACAAACCATAATCCCCGCCCGGCGGTACATTATTGGTCGGACCCCTGACGGCCCCTCCTATGGTTGGTGTAGAAGACGCCCACCGCGCTCAGGCCGCCTGCGGATTGGTTAGTCGGGCCGTCTCTGCTGGTGAGTGTCAGTCCGGGCTGAGGGGAGAGGCGAGGAGCGGCCGTGCGGAGAAACGGAGCCCGGGAGAGGAGGAGGAGGGTGAGGGGAAATTTACTGACACATTGATATTTCCTGACACTGGGGTGTCCATATACTGACATTGGTATGACTGTTTACTGACGGGGGGGGGGGGGGGGGGGGGGTCTGCAGACATCAGTATATGACGGGTTACTGACACACTGCTGTTTACTGACAATTAGCACAGTTCCTTACTGACACAATGCTTTTTACTGACAGTGGGTGTCTATATACTGACATTATTATTACTGCTTACTGACACATTGATATTTCCTGACACAAGGGTGTCCATATACTGACATTGGTATGACTGTTTACTGGGGGGGGGGGGGGGTCTGCAGACATTAGTATATGATGGCTTACTGACACACTGCTGTTTACTGACAGTGGGTTAGTCATATACACATATTAATACAGCCATTTACTGACACACTGCTGTTTTCTGACAATTAGCAGTTTCTTACTGTTACATTGCTTTTTACTGACAGTGGGTGTCTATATACTGACATTATTATTACTGCTTACTGACACACTGATATTTACTGACGGGGGTCTGCATACATTAGTATATGATGGGTTACTGACACACTGCTATTTACTGACCATTAGCATAGTTTCTTACTGACACAATGCTTTTTGCTGACAGTGGGTGTCTATATACTAACTTTATTATTACTGCTTACTGACAAAACTGATATTTACTGACAGGGAGTACATATACTGGCATTAGTACTAC